CACTGCTGGAGGTAAATCAAAAATCACTTCTCCAAAATTCATTTTTATTTCTAGTCTGACGCGACACGGGCGCGTTTCGTAAAACTTATTACATTTTCAAAGACTTCACAAATACACAACTGATTAGAACTTACGTCTCTCTGATATTATATCTACATTTGAGTGAGGTGGGAAGGGTGATGTGGCATTAACACAAGACAGAACAGGAGGGGATATTAATAGGGTATTAAAAGTATCAACACAAGACAGAACAGAAACAATGGGTGTTGAATAGAAGTGTTTGTAGAAAGCCTATTGGTCCATATTTCTTGATGCTTCTCTATTGGAGCGGAGTCTTGAGGTGGGTAGAATATAGTTGTGCAATAATTGGCTGTAATAATCATAATAATCCTCTTGACATGCCAGAAAGTATTCTGAGGAAACTACTCCAAGCTTGTACTAAAGAGGCACCCTTCTTGAGCCCGGATGGGCACATGTATAAGCAAGTAGATGGGGTCGCCATGGGTTCTCCCCTAGGTGTCCTGTTTGCAAACTTCTACATGGGTACCATCGAGCAAAAAGTCTTAGTCGACATGAACTTGAAACCGGCCATATACTGCAGGTATGTTGACGACATTTTTACACAGGTACCTGATGTCAGACATCTGCAGGAGCTGAAGGAGGCATTTGAGCAGAGTTCCGTGCTGCGTTTCACTTACGAGACGGAAAAGGATGGGAAGCTGCCTTTTCTAGATGTAACAGTCATGGAAAAGGGCGGAGGTTTCCACACTGCAGTCTACACTAAGGAAACAAACATAGGAATGTGCCTAAATGCCAACAGCGACTGCCCCGACAGGTACAAGAGGAGTGTTGTTAACGCATACGTCGACCGTGCTCTCAGCCACAGCTCAGAATGGAAACAAGTCGACGAAGAACTCTGTAGGGTAAGGCAGGTCCTAGTCAATAACGGCTTCTCCAATGGTTTCATCGAAGACATCATAAGAAGGAAAGTGAAAAGCCATGCAACCTCTGAAGAGACAACTAACACAACACCTATACCCCCTATTAGACTATTTTACAGGAACTTCTTTTCCACAGCTCATAAAACGGAGGAAAGGGTCCTGAAAGATATTGTTAATAGAAACGTTATCCCTACAGACAAAAATCAGAGGATACAACTGACGATTTACTATAAAACCAGAAAAACGGCCAGCCTACTCATGAGAAACTCTCCAGACACAAAACAGAACGCTTTAAAAGAGACTAACGTCGTCTATGCCTTCAAATGCCCACTTGGGGACTGTAAGCTCCAAAAAACCCAGTATATAGGCAAGACAACAACATCTCTTTCTAGGCGTTTAACGATGCATAAGCAACAGGGCTCCATTAAGGAACATATAATCTCTTCCCATAACCAAACCATCGCCAGAGAAATCCTAGTAAACAACACAGAAATCATCGATAGATACAGCGATAGCAGGCGGCTTGACGTTTGCGAGGCACTACACATCAAGAAGTCAACACCAGCAATCAACAGCCAATTATTGCACAACTATATTCTACCCACCTCAAGACTCCGCTCCAATATAGAAGCATCAAGAAATATGGACCAATAGGCTTTCTACAAACACTTCTATTCAACACCCATTGTTTCTGTTCTGTCTTGTGTTGATACTTTTAATACCCTATTAATATCCCCTCCTGTTCTGTCTTGTGTTAATGCCACATCACCCTTCCCACCTCACTCAAATGTAGATATAATATCAGAGAGACGTAAGTTCTAATCAGTTGTGTATTTGTGAAGTCTTTGAAAATGTAATAAGTTTTACGAAACGCGCCCGTGTCGCGTCAGACTAGAAATAAAAATGAATTTTGGAGAAGTGATTTTTGATTTACCTCCAGCAGTGAAGCGTAATGTACGAAAGATTGAGAAAATTCGTGTTAGAATTATTAATCTTACTTTTTCGGTCATATTTAATAATACATATATAAATATATATATATATATATATATATATATATATATATATATATATATATATATATATATATATATATATATATATATATATATATATATATATATATATATATATATAAAAGGAGAGACAAATCACTAGCTTCGTCGGTCATTATGGCTATAAATAGCTTTCCTAGAGAGGACAACCAGGCACCCCTCCCCACCCGTGCCAAAAACACCCACGGTAGGAAAGGTATCAACAGCAGAACCGAGGCATCCAAAATCAGAGCAACAGTCAGCAAGAAAATAGAAGAAGGCAACACAATAGGGGCGATCAGAGTCATCACCAGTGAAGACACAGTTGCCACCAGGGATGCCGATACAGCACAAGCCCTGAGGGAAAAACACCCACCCAGAGCTCCTCGTGACGACAGTGTTCCCCTAGTCGGTGTCACCAGAGCAGAACCCCTGTGTGTGCTCGAATCCATGGTGCATAAAGCAGCTTTATCCTTCTCACCAGGATCAGCAGGTGGGTTCACAGGACTACGACCCTACCACATCAAACAAATGCTCAACCCTGCACTGGAAGACATTGCACAGGGCCTCTTGGTGGAACTAACTAGATTCGCCAACACATGTCTAGCTGGCAACATACCAGAGACCATACGGCCTCTCTTTTTTGGCGCTACCCTCTGTGCTCTGAGGAAAAAAGATGGAGGAATCAGACCGATAGCTGTGGGCAATTCACTCCGGCGTCTCGTCGCTTAGGCTGCTGCTAGAGCAGTTAGTCAGGCAGCAGCCGACATGCTGAAGCCAAAACAGCTTGGGTTTGGCATTCCCCAAGGGTGTGAGGCAGCGGCTCATGCAGCTAGAGCCTACATTGCCAACATTACAGATGAAAAAGCCCTGATAAAGCTGGACTTCAAAAATGCTTTCAATCTGGTTAGAAGGAATGCAGTACTCAGTGCAGTTCATCGCCTTTTTCCTTCCCTCTACCCGTTTGTAAACTCGTGCTACAGCAAGAATCTAACTCTGCTTTTTGGGGAACATGAAATTGAATCACAAGGTGTCCAACAGGGTAACCCCCTTGCTCCTTTTCTTTTCTGTCTAGTTATCAAGGAAGCCACCGATAACCTGTCCAGTGAGCTCAACATTTGTTTTTTGGATGACGGTACTCTAGCCGGCTCCCCAGCCTCACTCTTGGACGACATAAGAATAATTCAGAAGCAAGGAGCAAGCCTAGGCCTCACCCTGAACCCTTCCAAGTGCGAAATAACCTCCACCAACCAGCACATAATAGAGCAAATAAAGGTTGTTTTGCCTGACATTCATACAACCAACCCTGAGGACAGCACACTCCTAGGTGCTCCTCTTGGAAGGAATGCCATCGACGGGGTCCTTGGTAAGAAGATCACTGACCTGAAGAGGATGAACGAGAGGATTGAAGACATCGATGCCCATGATGCACTTTACCTCATCACCAGATGCTTGTCCCTCCCCAGGCTGACCTACTTTCTAAGATGTTCGCCATCTTTCAACAATATTAAATTAGAAGAGTATGACAGCTTGCTGAAATCAACACTAGAAAAAGCCCTCAATCTTTCCCTCAGCGACATACAGTGGAAACAGGCCTCCCTTCCTGTCAGACTCGGGGGCCTTGGCGTGCGCACAGCAACACAAATTGCTGTACCAGCGTTCCTGTCCTCTTCAGTGGGGTCTGACAACTTGGTGAAGGAAATCCTACCTGAGCACCTAGTTCAACAGGCAGGGGTACATGATCCCAGCTTTACAGACTGCACAAACAAATGAGTCTCTCTCGCAGGACCAGCACCCCAACCACCGCCTTCTGAAGCCCATAAGCAATCCAGCTGGGATCGCCCCATTGCCGACCAAGAAGCTGCGACTTTGCTAGAAGCTGTGACAACACTACATGACACTGCCCGACTTAGAGCTGTAGCAGCTCCCCATGCAGGTGATTTCCTATTAGCAACCCCAATGTCAGCAACCGGCACCCGTCTCACACCGCAGGCCCTCCGAATTGCCGTGGCTCTCCGCCTCGCTGCCCCAATCCACACCGAATACAGGTGTATTTGCGGCGAGGCAGAGGCCGACAGGTACGGACGGCATGGCCTTCTCTGCCAAAGGACAGGAGGATGGCATGCAAGACACGGCGAGTTCAATGTCATTATTAAAAGAAGCTTTACCACAGCCGGTTGCCCAGCAGAGAGAGAGCCCCATTACCTAATGTCCCGCAACTCTGATGAGCCTGTCGGTCGCCCAGACGGAATCACGGTGAACCCCTGGAAGAATGGTAGACAGTTGGTGTGGGACTACACTTGCGTTTCAACTTTAGCCAATACCTATGTTGACTTCAGTGCTACACAAGCAGGAGGAGCTGCCAATCACCGGGAAGCAGCCAAGTCACGTAAATACAGAGACCTTGAGCACCACTACAATTTTGTCCCCATTGCCTCAGACACTTGGTGCCTGGGGTAAAAGTGCTGCTAGCTTTTTGAAGGAGTTGGGGTCTAAGCTAATCGAAACAACTAGAGACCTTAGGGCTGCCAGTTTTCTTTTTCAGCGCCTTAGTGTGGCAATCCAGAGAGGAAATGCTCACTGCATCCATGGTTCCTGCCCGCCATCTGAGGAGCTGGAGGAGCTGTTCAACTTGTGACAAGCAGCCTTGCACCCTGCATGTAATCAATATTATAACTTTTTTTGTGTAATGACATTTTCAAATAAAGTTAGATAAATATACACACTTAACAAAAGAATAGGGGTGGTAGGAGAAGAAAATATCAAAGTGTTCAGTGAGGATCCTCAAGGTCTTCTCTGAGTATTCTTTATTTTCTTCTCCGAGGCTATGGGTCCCTACACTTGCACAAGAGGTGGTACCCCTTCTAGGTTTAAAATATATATATATATATATATATATATATATATATATATATATATATATATATATATATATATATATATATATATATATATATATATATATATATATATATATATAATAATAATAATTGTGCCAATAGAGTTGAAACACTAGAATATTTACCTTGTCCTCTATAATGTCAGTAGTCCTGCTCTTCTTCCGTCCTTGTTTCGTGATTTCCAGTGTTAAATTGCCTTTTACAGGTTGACCATAAGTATATCTGAAGAAGACATGAAAATACATTAAGTATTCAAGAAAAATATGTATGCTTGTTGTTGGGACAAGTAACACAGTATATATGCTGCGGAACACTTGATACTGTTTGTCTACATGAATAACACTCCGGGACACTTTCATGATAGTCATGGATAAAGCTGCTTCCCGAAGGTATATTTTCTATTCATTTGGGCAATCAACTCCCTTCAAATGATTGTACATATACTAACTGTTTGTTCTAATGTACCGATATTTATACTTTAAATTTTAAAGATTCGGTAAACATAAAGCTTAAGACCGAACTTAAACATTGTTAGGTCTAGTATTGCATATGTATGCAATATATTAGGGAAAAGATAGCGTGTATTCGGGCAAGAATTGAAAAGATATGTTAGGTTCTATATTTATGTTGTGGTTAAAAAAAAATCCATATTTAGTCATATTAAATAATTCAAGATGTATATTTTTTGGTGGTCCAACACTACACATTATTACTTTCAACCATATACTTACTATAACTTCTATCATTTCAGGAGGATGGGCATACCTTACCCTATAAGGTATATTGTCCCTGGAATACGACCCTCCAAGTCCTGCCACTCCACACACTTTTACCCTATATGTTGTCCCTGGAGAATTGAGTTTAACATTCTGCGCCTAAAGCATACAATGAGAGTGCACGTCGTGTATAATAGCCAGCGTGGACTCTCCAGAGTGCATACGCCTGAGTACATGGGCTTATGTCACTGGTCTAAGGACTTATTAGGGTCTTGTGGGGTATCCTGGGATAGACGGGCAGTCCAGTGGTTTTGCATTAGCTGTTGTAAGCTTATATATTGAGCTGCCACGAGAGGTTATGCAATCGTCATGAAAATTTAGTATTCTAGAGTTAGGATGAGTGAGAGAAGCCAGAGGGAAGTTCTCAGGTGTGGCCAAGCCAAAGGTTGCCTGGCGGTCATTTTTTTGTTTTTATTATAAAGCAAAAATAAATACAATTAAAAGCAAGGTACCGAAGCACCAGAACAGTGTCACAACACCTCAGGATTTATCACCACCATCAAACAGCATTCTAATATTATACAAGACACCAAATCAATACAGAAATTTACAAACACCAATACAGAAATAGACAAACACCAGTGTAATACATGTATACGCACCAGGGTAAAAACTCCATGCACGCATAAAGGGAACAAAACTACCTGGAAAAGACGGAGAACAGAAATACATAAAAACAAGAACATACATAATGGACCCTAACACACAGAGGCCGTTACCACCCACCAAAATGAAGAAAGCAGTTATAAGAAGAAAATTAAGGGGAAGCCTTCAACCCCAAACATTCACACATCCACAACCAAACTGAATACATATAGGGGAACACTGTTCAAACGAAAGGCCAGACACTAGACCTAATTTAACAACAGACAATATAAACAGATGGAACCCAGCACACAACATGCACACAGAACATTCGTCACAAGCAAGGAGGGGAGACACCTCCGAAGCTTGCTACAAGACACGCATGCACAGTACACCCATATAGACAGTTGGGATCGACAAGCACATTGGCAACTAATGAAATTTCAGAAAAAACACAAAATAACATACAATGGTAAAACCGAAGGGAACTATAAGTACTTCTAACACATGGAAAACAAGTACTCAGTTAAATATAAACTCACATAAAACCCAACAGAGACGCAGCTCCAGCACACACCCGAGGAACCCGACCTGAATAGTGCCGATCAAACACCAGCGGCAAGTCCACAACGACTGGATCCCCTCCTAAGGGTACCATACTTCCCGAAGGTATGGTGTGGCACCTTACTTTATTTCCACCGAGGGGGAAACCTCTTGAGGGCCAACAGACTCCTTTCTCAACACCTCCACAATCACCGCCTCATCCACCCCACCCTCATCCTTCATATGCTCCAGAGTGTCTGTACCACAGAGGGACCGCGACCTGGCAGTGCCCTTCCTGCGTTCCTGCTGAGGGACCCGCTCAGCCGGATGTGACGTGTCCTTGGTGGCCGCAAGCCACCACCGTCAACACCTGCCGTCCCCACCACTGTGTTGTCTGCCACAAGCCAACACCGTCAACACCTGCCGTCCCCACCACTGTGTTGTCTGCCACAAGCCAACACCGTCAACACCTGCCGTCCCCACCACTGTGTTGTCTGCCACAAGCCAACACCGTCAACACCTGCCGTCCCCACCACTGTGTTGTCTGCCACAAGCCAACATCGTCAACACCTGCCGTCCCCACCACTGTGTTGTCTGCCACAAGCCACCACCGTCAACACCTGCCGTCCCCATCACTGTGTTGTCTGCCACAAGCCACCACCGTCAACACCTGCCGTCCCCACCACTGTGTTGTCTGCCACAAGCCACCACCGTCAACACCTGCCGTCCCCATCACTGTGTTGTCTGCCACAAGCCACCACCGTCAACACCTGCCGTCCCCACCACTGTGTTGTCTGCCACAAGCCACCACCGTCAACACCTGCCGTCCCCACCACTGTGTTGTCTGCCACAAGCCACCACCGTCAACACCTGCCGTCCCCACCACTGTGTTGTCTGCCACAAGCCACCACCGTCAACACCTGCCGTCCCCATCACTGTGTTGTCTGCCACAAGCCACCACCGTCAACACCTGCCGTCCCCACCACTGTGTTGTCTGCCACAAGCCACCACCGTCAACACCTGCCGTCCCCACCACTGTGTTGTCTGCCACAAGCCACCACCGTCAACACCTGCCGTCCCCACCACTGTGTTGTCTGCCACAAGCCACCACCGTCAACACCTGCCGTCCCCACCACTGTGTTGTCTGCCACAAGCCACCACCGTCAACACCTGCCGTCCCCATCACTGTGTTGTCTGCCACAAGCCACCACCGTCAACACCTGCCGTCCCCACCACTGTGTTGTCTGCCACAAGCCACCACCGTCAACACCTGCCGTCCCCACCACTGTGTTGTCTGCCACAAGCCACCACCGTCAACACCTGCCGTCCCCGCCACTGTGAACACCTGCCGTCCCTGCCATTATGTTATCTGCCACAAACACCTGCCAGCAGTAGAGAGTACGCCATAGACGGGCAGTTTTGCTTTTTTCCCAGCTGCTCTGTTGCATAGGGGTATTTGCAAATTTTTCCCCCAAATGCTGGGCATTGGCGTTGAGGATATTTTCATATCATTTATGAATCTCTCCCTTCAATCATATATTATTTTCCAAAATGGGAATTTAAAGGTAGACTCCCAGTCCTTGCCATTTTGCTCAAGGAGATTAAAATGCCGGCTCCTGTCGTACCCAAATTTCGTTACCTCGGTGACCCTCGGGGGTCTCGGTGACCCTAGGGGGCCTCGTAGCCTGGTGGATAGCGCACAGGACTCGTAATTCTGTGGCGCGGGTTCGATTCCCGCACGAGGCAGAAACAAATGGGCAAAGTTTCTTTCACCCTGAATGCCCCTGTTACCTAGCAGTAAATAGGTACCTGGGAGTTAGTCAGCTGTCACGGACTGCTTCCTGGGGGTGGAGGCCTGGTCAAGGACCGGGCCGCGGGGACACTAAAAGCCCCGAAATCATCTCAAGATAACCCTGGACAGACGTTGCTTATGGTCAATGATGTCAGTCAATTTTCCCTGAATAAGTCCGTTTTCTGATGTGGTGTATTTATTCCCATTTTCTATTTATTCCCAGCTCCTGTCTAGGCTGTTTTTCGTCTCCTAAGCCGCCAGCATTCATCTACCCACACTAAGCCCGTTTTCCCCAAAGTTCCTTTTCTAGCCAAGATCGCATATTGAACATAAGAAATAGAATTACAGATGGCCTTTTACAGGATCTCCTATTTACTTCCAATCTATGTTAACCAAAACATCAACTGCCTCTATTAGATGATCTGCAGTAGGTCTATTCCCTATTAAATTAATACCCTCTTTCCATCTCCATTTATGTACTTCAATAATGACACTCCCTTAATATTCAGATGGTCCTATTTAATCCCTAAATTTTCTGGAAGCTTTATATTTATAATGTCCGGCAAAGGATCGTTTATTGAGCATAAGAATGGATGAAATTTTCTATTTCCCATTCATATGTGGACACCCTTGTACCCCACAACTGTACCGTGCTAGGCTGTGGACACCCTTGTACCCCACAACTGTACCGTGCTAGGCTGTGGACACCCTTGTACCCCACAACTGTACCGTGCTAGGCTGTGGACACCTTTGTACCCCACAACTGTACCGTGCTAGGCTGTGGACACCCTTGTACCCCACAACTGTACCGTGCTAGGCTGTGAACACCCTTGTACCCCACAACTGTACCGTGCTAGGCTGTGGACACCCTTGTACCCCACAACTGTACCGTGCTAGGCTGTGGACACCCTTGTACCCCACAACTGTACCGTGCTAGGCTGTGGACACCCTTGTACCCCACAACTGTACCCTACTAGGCTGTGGACACCCTTGCACCCCACAACTGTACCCTACTAGGCTGTGGACACCCTTGTACCCCACAACTGTACCCTACTAGGCTGTGGACACCCTCGTACCCCACAACTGTACCCTGCTAGACTGTGGACACCCCTTGTACCCCACAACTGTACCCTGCTAGGCTGTGGACACCCTTGTACCCCACAACTGTACCCTGCTAGGCTGTGGACACCCTTGTACCCCACAACTGTACCCTGCTAGGCTGTGGACACCCTTGTACTCCATAGCTGTACCGTGCTAGGCTGTGGACACCCTTGTACCCCACAACTGTACCGTGCTAGGCTGTGGACACACTTGTACCCCACAACTGTACCGTGCTAGGCTGTGGACACCCTTGTACCCCACAACTGTACCCTGCTAGACTGTGGACACCCTTGTACCCCACAACTGTACCGTGCTAGGCTGTGGACACCCTTGTACTCCACAACTGTACCCTGCTAGGCTGTGGACACCCTTGTACCCCACAACTGTACTGTGCTAGGCTGTGGACACCCTTGTACCCCACAACTGTACTGTGCTAGGTTGTGGACACCCTTGTACCCCACAACTGTACCCTGCTAGGCTGTGGACACCCTTGTACCCCACAACTGTACCCTGCTAGGCTGTGGACACCCTTGTACCCCACAACTGTACCCTGCTAGGCTGTGGACACCCTTGTACCCCACAACTGTACCGTGCTAGGCTGTGGACACCCTTGTACCCCACAACTGTACCCTGCTAGGCTGTGGACACCCTTGTACCCCACAACTGTACCCTGCTAGACTGTGGACACCCTTGTACTATTCCACAACTGTACCGTGGTAAGCTGTGGAAACCCTTGTACTCCATAACTGTACCCTGCTAGACTGTGGACACCCTTGTACTCCACAACTGTACCCTGCTAGACTGTGGACACCCTTGTACTCCATAACTGTACCCTGCTAGACTGTGGACACCCTTGTACTCCACAACTATACCCTGCTAGGCTGTGGACACCCTTGTACTCCACAACTGTACCCTGCTAGACTGTGGACACCCTTGTACTCCACAACTGTACAGTACTAGGCTGTGGAAACCCTTGTACTCCACAACTGTTCCCTGCTAGGCTGTGGACACCCTTGTACTCCATAACTGTACCCTGCTAGACTGTGGACACCCTTGTACTCCACAACTGTACCCTGCTAGACTGTGGACACCCTTGTACTCCATAACTGTACCCTGCTAGACTGTGGACACCCTTGTACTCCACAACTGTACCCTGCTAGGCTGTGGACACCCTTGTACTATTCCACAACTGTTCAGTGCTAGGCTGTGGAAACCCTTGTACTCCATAACTGTACCCTGCTAGACTGTGGACACCCTTGTACTCCACAACTGTACAGTGCTAGGCTGTGGAAACCCTTGTACTTCATAACTGTACCCTGCTAGACTGTGGACACCCTTGTACTCCACAACTGTACAGTGCTAGGCTGTGGAAACCCTTGTATTCCATAACTGTACCCTGCTAGGCTGTGGACACCCTTGTACTCCACAACTGTACCCTGCTAGGCTGTGGACACCCTTGTACTCCACAACTGTACCCTGCTAAGCTGTGGACACCCTTGTACTCCACAACTGTACCCTGCTAGACTGTGGACATCCTTGTACTACTCCACAACTGTACCGTGCTAGGCTGTGGACACCTTTGTACTCCATAACTGTACCCTGCTAGACTGTGGACACCCTTGTACTCCACAACTGTACCCTGCTAGGCTGTGGAAACCCTTGTACTACTCCACAACTGTACCGTGCTAGGCTGTGGACACCCTTGTACTCCATAACTGTACCCTGCTAGACTGTGGACACCCTTGTACTCCACAACTGTACCCTGCTAGGCTGTGGACACCCTTGTACTATTCCACAACTGTACAGTGCTAGGCTGTGGAAACCCTTGTACTCCATAACTGTACCCTGCTAGACTGTGGACACCCTTGTACTCCACAACTGTACAGTGCTAGGCTGTGGAAACCCTTGTACTTCATAACTGTACCCTGCTAGACTGTGGACACCCTTGTACTCCACAACTGTACAGTGCTAGGCGGTGGAAACCCTTGTATTCCATAACTGTACCCTGCTAGGCTGTGGACACCCTTGTACTCCACAACTGTACCGTGCTAGGCTGTGGACACCCTTGTACCCCACAACTGTACCGTGCTAGGCTGTGGACACACTTGTACCCCACAACTGTACCGTGCTAGGCTGTGGACACCCTTGTACCCCACAACTGTACCCTGCTAGACTGTGGACACCCTTGTACCCCACAACTGTACCGTGCTAGGCTGTGGACACCCTTGTACTCCACAACTGTACCCTGCTAGGCTGTGGACACCCTTGTACCCCACAACTGTACTGTGCTAGGCTGTGGACACCCTTGTACCCCACAACTGTACTGTGCTAGGTTGTGGACACCCTTGTACCCCACAACTGTACCCTGCTAGGCTGTGGACACCCTTGTACCCCACAACTGTACCCTGCTAGGCTGTGGACACCCTTGTACCCCACAACTGTACCGTGCTAGGCTGTGGACACCCTTGTACCCCACAACTGTACCGTGCTAGGCTGTGGACACCCTTGTACCCCACAACTGTACCCTGCTAGGCTGTGGACACCCTTGTACCCCACAACTGTACCCTGCTAGACTGTGGACACCCTTGTACTATTCCACAACTGTACCGTGGTAAGCTGTGGAAACCCTTGTACTCCATAACTGTACCCTGCTAGACTGTGGACACCCTTGTACTCCACAACTGTACCCTGCTAGACTGTGGACACCCTTGTACTCCATAACTGTACCCTGCTAGACTGTGGACACCCTTGTACTCCACAACTATACCCTGCTAGGCTGTGGACACCCTTGTACTCCACAACTGTACCCTGCTAGACTGTGGACACCCTTGTACTCCACAACTGTACAGTACTAGGCTGTGGAAACCCTTGTACTCCACAACTGTTCCCTGCTAGGCTGTGGACACCCTTGTACTCCATAACTGTACCCTGCTAGACTGTGGACACCCTTGTACTCCACAACTGTACCCTGCTAGACTGTGGACACCCTTGTACTCCATAACTGTACCCTGCTAGACTGTGGACACCCTTGTATTTCACAACTGTACCCTGCTAGGCTGTGGACACCCTTGTACTATTCCACAACTGTTCAGTGCTAGGCTGTGGAAACCCTTGTACTCCATAACTGTACCCTGCTAGACTGTGGACACCCTTGTACTCCACAACTGTACAGTGCTAGGCTGTGGAAACCCTTGTACTTCATAACTGTACCCTGCTAGACTGTGGACACCCTTGTACTCCACAACTGTACAGTGCTAGGCTGTGGAAACCCTTGTATTCCATAACTGTACCCTGCTAGGCTGTGGACACCCTTGTACTCCACAACTGTACCCTGCTAGGCTGTGGACACCCTTGTACTCCACAACTGTACCCTGCTAAGCTGTGGACACCCTTGTACTCCACAACTGTACCCTGCTAGACTGTGGACATCCTTGTACTACTCCACAACTGTACCGTGCTAGGCTGTGGACACCTTTGTACTCCATAACTGTACCCTGCTAGACTGTGGACACCCTTGTACTCCACAACTGTACCCTGCTAGGCTGTGGAAACCCTTGTACTACTCCACAACTGTACCGTGCTAGGCTGTGGACACCCTTGTACTCCATAACTGTACCCTGCTAGACTGTGGACACCCTTGTACTCCACAACTGTACCCTGCTAGGCTGTGGACACCCTTGTACTATTCCACAACTGTACAGTGCTAGGCTGTGGAAACCCTTGTACTCCAGAACTGGACCCTGCTAGACTGTGGACACCCTTGTACTCCACAACTGTACAGTGCTAGGCTGTGGAAACCCTTGTACTTCATAACTGTACCCTGCTAGACTGTGGACACCCTTGTACTCCACAACTGTACAGTGCTAGGCGGTGGAAACCCTTGTATTCCATAACTGTACCCTGCTAGGCTGTGGACACCCTTGTACTCCACAACTGTACCCTGCTAGGCTGTGGACACCCTTGTACTCCACAACTGTACCCTGCTAGACTGTGGACATCCTTGTACCCCACAACTGTACCCTGCTAGGCTGTGGACACCCTTATACTCCATAACTGTACCCTGCTAGACTGTGGACACCCTTGTACTCCACAACTGTACCCTGCTAGGCTGTGGAAACCCTTGTACTACTCCACAACTGTACCGTGCTAGGCTGTGGACACCCTTGTACTCCATAACTGTACCCTGCTAGACTGTGGACACCCTTGTACTCCACAACTGTACCCTGCTAGACTGTGGACACCCTTGTACTCCACAACTGTACCGTGCTAGGCTGTGGACACCCTTGTACTCCATAACTGTACCCTGCTAGACTGTGGACACCCTTGTACTCCATAACTGTACCCTGCTAGACTGTGGACACCCTTGTACTCCATAACTGTACCCTGCTAGGCTGTGGAAACCCTTGTACTACTCCACAACTGTACCGTGCTAGGCTGTGGACACCCTTGTACTCCATAACTGTACCCTGCAAGACTGTGGACACCCTTGTACTCCACAACTGTACCCTGCTAGACTGTGGACACCCTTGTACTCCACAACTGTACCGTGCTAGGCTGTGGACACCCTTGTACTCCATAACTGTACCCTGCTAGACTGTGGACACCCTTGTACTCCATAACTGTACCCTGCTAGACTGTGGACACCCTTGTACTCCATAACTGTACCCTGCTAGGCTGTTGTCCTCACTCTCCCAGGACAGCTATCACTTACAAGAAAGCCTGTCTAAGGAACTACAATAATAATAATAATAAACACAAAGGGATCCTCATAACTCGAGTCAAATAAAGTGTTCATGCAGAACACAGGTCGGTGACGACAGGACACATGACACATAATATGACAGCAACACACCTTCGGATGACATTATGTCATTTGAGTCTTCAGGATAACAGGTGAACATTTTAAGCTGGTTAAGTATTTTTTTAACTGTTTTAATATTTACTTGGTTATGTTTATACTAATAATTAGTGTCAATTAGGAATACGAGAGAATAGTACTAACGTTGCACAGACGGTAATATTAAACTTGGTGTGTGAGCGGAGGAGATAGTTGGGGGTTGTGAGTGTGGCGTCAAAGCGGGGTAACACATACTCCTCCACCTTGAAGGTTCGTGTGACTGGCTCTTCGTCACTGTGTGCACGCACCAGGATCTTGTAGCTTCCCTGAAGATACATCAAACACCATTAGTGGCTTAATAAGAAGCGGGAACGGGAACTCGTTTTCTCTAACTTCCTCAAACTCTCTCATTTTTTTCTGCATTATTAACATGTTATATGAATGCTTCAACTTTACCAAATGGATTAACATCGTAACAAGAGCAGAAAATGATAAAAAATAGAAACCCAAAATGTACAAATTTAAACAATTCCTAAAAAATAGGAAATGTCACCAATTTTTGTATTTTCATTGTGGTATTATAATGCAATATAATCTTCTATATTCATTATTTACAATTTGTCTTTAAAATATAGTTTGCTGTAAAAATTTATTAAATGCGCTATTACAATTTTATGTGCAAAATTGAGACTGAAAAATGTCTAACTTTAAACGTTTAGGGTTTATGAAAAACATAAATAATTAATGTTTTAAAACAAAGAAGTCTGCACATAATTAAAAAGGACGAGAATCGATCAGTAAATGATTTTTTTTAAAGTTGAAGTTGACGTCAAAGTTTAATTTTTTTGTTCATACAAATAATTGAAGTTGAAGTTCACGACAGTTATCACAGTCGTTCTACTTTATGGATTTTCCTGTAAGTTCCGGACAATATTGCTGGGCACTCGGTCTAGAATATATGAAAGTTGTAGGTCAATATCTTTGGAAATTCTATACATTTTTATTTTTTAATTTCACATAATTACTCTATATATGCCCATAATTATTGTATATGTTTACAACATTTAACAGGAAAGAGATGATATCCATGGACTTTATTAGCACTTGTATTGAGTATTCACCTGTGTTCTGATGAGTGGCACTATAAGTGAACACTTACCTGTGTTCTGATGAATAAGTGAACACTTACCTGTGTTCTGATGAGTGTCACTATAAGTGAACACTTACCTGTGTTCTGATGAGTGTCACTATAAGTGAACACTTACCTGTGTTCTGATGAGTGTCACTATAAGTGAACACTTACCTGTGTTCTGATGAGTGTCACTATAAGTGAACACTTACCTGTGTTCTGATGAATGTCACTATAAGTGAACACTTACCTGTGTTCTGATGAATGTCACTATAAGTGAACACTTACCTGTGTTCTGATGAATGTCACTATAAGTGAACACTTACCTGTGTTCTGATGAATGTCACTATAAGTGAACACTTACCTGTGTTCTGATGAATGTCACTATAAGTGAACACTTACCTGTGTTCTGATGAGTGGCACTATAAGTGAACACTTACCTGTGTTCTGATGAGTGGCACTATAAGTGAACACTTACCTGTGTTCTGATGAGTGTCACTATAAGTGAACACTTACCTGTGTTCTGATGAGTGTCACTATAAGTGAACACTTACCTGTGTTCTGATGAGTGTCACTATAAGTGAACACTTACCTGTGTTCTGATGAGTGGCACTATAAGTGAACACTTACCTGTGTTCTGATGAATGTCACTATAAGTGAACACTTACCTGTGTTCTGATGAGTGTCACTATAAGTGAACACTTACCTGTGTTCTGATGAGTGGCACTATAAGTGAACACTTACCTGTGTTCTGATGAGTGTCACTATAAGTGAACACTTACCTGTGTTCTGATGAGTGGCACTATAAGTGAACACTTAACTGTGTTCTGATGAGTGGCACTATAAGTGAACATTTACCTGTGTTCTGATGAGTGGCACTATAAGTGAACACTTACCTGTGTTCTGATGAATGTCACTATAAGTGAACACTTACCTGTGTTCTGATGAATGTCACTATAAGTGAACACTTACCTGTGTTCTGATGAGTGTCACTATAAGTGAACACTTACCTGTGTTCTGATGAATGTCACTATAAGTGAACACTTACCTGTGTTCTGATGAATGTCACTATAAGTGAACACTTACCTGTGTTCTGATGAATGACACTATAAGTGAACACTTACCTGTGTTCTGATGAATGACACTATAAGTGAACACTTACCTGTGTTCTGATGAGTGTCACTATAAGTGAACACTTACCTGTGTTCTGATGAATGTCACTATAAGTGAACACTTACCTGTGTTCTGATGAGTGTCACTATAAGTGAACACTTACCTGTGTTCTGATGAGTGTCACTATAAGTGAACACTTACCTGTGTTCTGATGAATGTCACTATAAGTGAACACTTACCTGTGTTCTGATGAATGACACTATAAGTGAACACTTACCTGTGTTCTGATGAATGTCACTATAAGTGAACACTTACCTGTGTTCTGATGAGTGTCACTATAAGTGAACACTTACCTGTGTTCTGATGAGTGTCACTATAAGTGAACACTTACCTGTGTTCTGATGAGTGGCACTATAAGTGAACACTTACCTGTGTTCTGATGAATGACACTATAAGTGAACACTTACCTGTGTTCTGATGAGTGTCACTATAAGTGAACACTTACCTGTGTTCTGATGAGTGGCACTATAAGTGAACACTTACCTGTGTTCTGATGAATGTCACTATAAGTGAACACTTACCTGTGTTCTGATGAATGTCACTATAAGTGAACACTTACCTGTGTTCTGATGAATGACACTATAAGTGAACACTTACCTGTGTTCTGATGAATGACACTATAAGTGAACACTTACCTGTGTTCTGATGAGTGGCACTATAAGTGAACACTTACCTGTGTTCTGATGAATGTCACTATAAGTGAACACTTACCTGTGTTCTGATGAGTGGCACTATAAGTGAACACTTACCTGTGTTCTGATGAGTGTCACTATAAGTGAACACTTACCTGTGTTCTGATGAGTGGCACTATAAGTGAACACTTACCTGTGTTCTGATGAATGACACTATAAGTGAACACTTACCTGTGTTCTGATGAATGACACTATAAGTGAACATTTACCTGTGTTCTGATGAATGACACTATAAGTGAACACTTACCTGTGTTCTGATGAGTGTCACTATAAGTGAACACTTACCTGTGTTCTGATGAATGTCACTATAAGTGAACACTTACCTGTGTTCTGATGAGTGGCACTATAAGTGAACACTTACCTGTGTTCTGATGAGTGGCACTATAAGTGAACACTTACCTGTGTTCTGATGAATGTCACTATAAGTGAACACTTACCTGTGTTCTGATGAATGACACTATAAGTGAACATAAATTACAGTAATGTGTGTTAGGGGTAAACAATATAAATATTTTAGTAATCATATTGGCTATACTTAGGTGATAATAGCTGGTATTGTGAGGCACCGTGTGGCATTGTGAGGCACTATGAGGCACTGTAATAATGTGGCAAGAGAGTGTGGCGCCACACAGTGTGGGGTGAGGGCAGCCGCCTCACAGTGCACTCTACACTCACACTATCACGTATTTCGTGATAGAAATATCTCGCTTGCCTCCTACTTCCTCGTATTCATACGTCATGCAACAAACTTTCCCTCGTGTAATTAGCATTCCTCAAAAGGAAAGGCATCATGAATACGAACGATGAAACAGCGGTAACCAGCATGACGCAATGGCATCACACTTCCGTCCTCCATGACAGACTCACGGTCACTGAGGGAGCTACAACGACCACACACTCACAGTAAATGATCTCCCAGAGGGTAATGTCGGAAAACCCGACACCATTTACGAATATTCAATACAATAGGCAGATAATATTACTGCTGGGTTGTATAAATAAATTTCACTCATAGAAGACTTGGGGCAATGGAATTTTCCTCCTGTAGAAATCGAAATATTATTGCCACAGTGCTATTATTTTCACCAGGTGTTCTGCTGGGAATATTCTTAACACCGCAGTCTTTGTACTGTAATTATCATAAAAACATCTTATTTGAATTAAGTTAATTATTAGTACCAAAATATATTAAATGTGACCTTTGTACCACTACTTGGCATCTGGACAAGAGAGCCAGGGCGTCAGTGGGAGGGAGGCCTCAGTTGTCAGCCATTGTTCATTTTAACAACAGGTCGCTGGAGCAGAACAGCTCCAATAAATTCCCCTTGGACAACGGAGTTGCATGACTAATAGTGCTCCTGTTATCAACTCCAACTACGTCTACTATATGGAAAGTGTATTACCGAAACCCGTTTATAATCTATTACATTCCTGGCCAGTTATGTTAGGTATTTATAGGGCGAACCGGTTACCAGGAGCGACAGCGACCAACCAAGAGTGAGTAATATTCTCATCTCTTTATTTAAACTGGCAATATTTCCTCAGATATAGCTGTCATATATATATATATATATATATATATATATATATATATATATATATATATATATATATATATATATATATATATATATATATATATATATATATATATGCAATTGACGATCACAAAACACTGATCATTTTATGCGGAAAATCCACAGAGAAATATGAAATGAGGTGAACGTTTCGGCTTTGTTAAAGCCTTTGTCAACACCAGACTGACTCCAGAATCTCACAGTCAGTCTGGTGTTGACAAAGGCTTTAACAAAGCCGAAACGTTCACCTCATTTCATATTTCTCTGTGGATTTTCCGCATATATATATATATATATATATATATATATGATTAGTGGTATTATGTAAGTGCCCTTTGACAGGAACAATTGAAGAGGAAGAAGAATCACTAGTAACCTAGTACATGTGTTGAGGGGGGGGGGGGGGGGGGGGGAGGGCCAGCCACACCCACAAAGTGGATCCACTGGCTTAGTCATCCGTGTTCTTAATGGTTCTCTAGAACAAAATCAGCCATGTAAGGTAAGGCCTCCAAATTTTAATTACTAATATATGTAGTTTAATACTGTACTTTGACTGACTGTATATATAAAATGTAACCCCCCCCCCATAGTGTGTAAGGAGATCGATTTGTGAGAATTTGCAGAAATACAGTCCACTTAAACTATCACCCAATTTGCTATCGAAATATAGAATTTAATGTAAATATATATTCTATATAAATTTATATAAATTAAATAAATGTAAATCTCACAGGTCGGTTCCCCACAGGTACAGA